GATATAGGTGAGGGAGGACTTCCTTCCACTAGAGTTGGGGAGCACAGACGTCATACTAGGGATGAAATGTTTGCAAACTTTGGGTGACACCAAGGTGAATTGGGGAGCACTTACGATGGAGTTGATGGTGGACGGAAAGAATGTAGTGATTAAGCGAGACGCGGGGCTTTCAAAATCCCTAGTTTCTCTTAAAACGATGGTAAAAGATATCCAGTTGGCGGGCGGAGGGTATTTAGTGGAGTTGCACAGTTTGGAGGAAGCAAGTTGAAAGAGGGAGGAGACATACCCTTCTCCATTCAGCTGTTGATTCAGAATTCCAAGAGGTATTTCAGCCACCTCAGGGATTGCCACCGCAGAGGGAGCAGGAGCATGCCATCATATTAAAGGAGGGAGTATCGCCCATCAGTGTCTGGCCTTATCTCTACCCTCAATTTCAGAAGGATGAGATAGAAAAGTTGATTAGAGAAATACCGGAGGCAGAGATCATCAGACCCAGCATCAACCCTTTTTCTAGCCCTGTTCTGTTGGTGAAAAAGAAGGATGGCCGCTGGCGTTTTTGTGTGTACTATAGAGCACTCAACAAGGAAACTATACCAGACAAGTTTCCTATACCAGTCATTGACGAGCTGCTAGAAGAATTGAGTGGAATCGTGATCTTCAACAAAATAGACTTGAAATCAGGTTACCATCAGATCCGAATGAAGGAGGATGTACCCAAAATGGCCTTTATAACTCATGAAGGACATTATGAGTTCCTGGGTCCGTGCCGAAAAATCAGAAGGAATTAAGGGGAGTCCTAGGACTAACGGGTTACTACAGGAGGTTCATGAAGGGGTATAGCTCCATTGCGTGGCCATTCACTGAATAGTTGAAGAAGGACAGGCTCCTATGGGGGGAGGCGGCCACATCAGCATTTGAGAGATTGAAGAAGGCGATGACTACGGTACAGGTCCTAGCCTTGCCATATTTTACTCAAACCTTCATTGTGGAGACAGATGCTTCAGGATACGGACTAGGTGTAGTACTGATGCAGAATCGTTGACCCATTGCCTATTTCAGCCAGGTATTGGCGGCTAGAACCCGATTGAAATCAATTTATGAGAGGGAATTAATGGCCATCGTCTTGGCCATCCAAAAGTGGTGGCACTATCTGCTTGGGAGATATTTCATTGTCAGGATAGATCAACGAAGCCTGAAATACCTACTGGAATAGCAGATGGTGACGGAAGAGCATCAAAGGTGGTTGTCCAAGTTGCTAGGGTATGATTTCAAGATTCAGTATAAACCAGGGGTGGAGAACAAGGCGGCGGACGCGTTGTCCAAATATATGGGAGAGCTGCAGATGGTGGCATTATCCATTCCTTTGATGCTTGACTGGGAGGCTATCAGGGAAGAAAGTGCTAGAAACGAAGAACTGTGAAGGATCAGGTCAGATTTGATGAAAGAGGAGGGTAGCCTTCTAAGTACTCATTGGAGGGAGACAAACTGCTGGACCAGGGAAGATTTGTGATGCCCAGTACCTCGATCCACATCCCAAATTTACTACAGGAATTTCATGGAAGCGCAATTGGGGGACATTCAGGGGTGCAGAGAACCTAAAAGAGACTAACGGCCAAGCTTTATTAGAAGGGAATGCATAGAGATGTAGAGGAACAAGTATTTGGCTATGTCACCAGTGGGACTACTATAGCCGTTAGCACTACCGGGACGAGTATGGGAGGAGATATCCATGGATTTCATAGATGGGCTGCCCCGTTCAGAAGGCTTCACAGTGATCTTGGTGGTGGTGGATAGATTGAGCAAGTATGCTCATTTCATCCCCTCCGACATCCTTACAACGTAGTGACAGTGGCTTTAGCATTCATTAGAGAGGTGGTCAGATTGCATGGAATACCATAGGCGATCGTGTCATAGAGATAAGGTGTTTCTCAGTCAATTTTTGAGGGAATTGTTCAGGTTACAAGGGACAGTTCTAAAAAAGAGCACCGCTTACCACCCACAGACAGATGACCAAACAGAGGTGGTCAATAGGAGCTTGGAGACCTATTTGAGATGTTTTGTGTCAAAGACACTCAAACTTTGGGCCAAGTGGTTGTCTTGGGCAGAGTACTGGTACAACACCTCTTTTCACTCGGCTTCACAAATGACTCCATTCAAGGTGCTGTACGGAAGGGACCCCCCTCACTTGGTGCACTTCGGGAGTAGCAGTACTCCAGTTTCTTCAGTAGAGAAGTATTAAACGATTCATGTCATGTTTATTTAACAAGCTATATGATGGATATCGACTACCTAATGCAACTATCCATTTTTCTCATCCAAAGCATGGAACCTGGTAACGACAATACTAAAATTGAATCCATCAGTCAACTAGATTTAAAAAAAATGCATAGCATGTAAATTTAAAATAACTTAATTGATAAATGTTAAAAGTTACAAGGAGAATATTTCACAATATTATCCTTAGGTTATTGCAATCCAAAAAAAATCTTTATTGCTTCCAAAATCTTAAGTAGGAGATTGGCCTTCATCCTCTCCATTGAATCAGCAATAAATCTATCCATATAATAGTACAAGCCAAATTTGATCTCCATATTGGAGGATTCATATAATAACGACTAACACATGCAAAATACCAATGTAGTTGAAGCTCCCATTCACATCTATGATTTTCTAAATTTTCTTGTCTACCCCTATCCTTTTGTTATCAACTCCTTCACCTCATACATTGCATTATAAATAAAACACAGCTAATTTTTTTTTTATATCGACTATTCTTAAAATATGAAGGACTTAATACTTGTGATAGCATTAAGTTACAGAAAATAAAAAAAAAAAAGTCACTCAAAACAATCTTCCTAGCTTAGTTATTTTCAAGCTTCTTAGCTCAAACACAATTTAACCACAATGTTGATGTGAATATAGCATCCAAAAAAGGCCTTGCTTCATTGATGTTTTGTAAAGCACGCAGTAGTAAATCTAGTAGCTATGAATTCTTGGTTAGAGAACTTCCTCATCAAAGCTAAAATCCAACTATGATCATAAAGAAACTTGCAAATCTTCTTGCCTTCAGTTAAGGCATTCTTATGCTAAGGCAACTCTCCAAGTTTTTCAAGGATTAAAATGTGTAAGGACACGTAGTCTAATAAATATGCTTTCACTTAATCCACCAATTAATTGTCAATTGCCTTATAAGCACTGATATTATCAATGACAACTTGGACAACTAGTCGCACCCTGAATCCTGAACTCCAATTAGTTTGAAAATATGCTATGCATTCTTTTTTTCCTTTTTTTTTTTTAAATGCTATTCATTCTATTTGATGCTTCAGTAGACTTCAGAAAGAACGTGGCAGAAAAGATAATGATACAGGTATTGTTTATTAAAATATTGATCAAATTCCTACTTTTAATATACAACCAACCATCCAACATGATTGTAACTCTAATTTGAGACCAAATTCTCCTGATCTCCCCAAATTCCTTTACTGTATTTAATTTCTCTTTCAATATCCAAATCCCGAGTTCACACAAATGGACGCTTACGACCTTGATAAAATGAACCTCAAGAACGATTTATGTTGGCAAAAGATGAAGTTATAACATCAATTGGAAATGCATTCTCAAAGACGGATCTTCTAAGGTCCATATAATTATGCTTGCAAGCCTCTCTTCCATTGTATAGAGACATTCAATTGACATCTTCCACATTCATCATATATTGATCTATAGGTCCCATAAATATTTGTGGCATATGAGAAGATGAATCTTTGTTACTAAGCTCACATCACAGTAAAATCTATTATCAACTATATCATCAAATTGATATTGTGCCAAATTTTTTTACAGTCTCTATTTATGTGCATGAATTTCTTCTTTCGCTTCTCTAGGCACTTTTGTATATTGTGTAACATTCTTATGATAAATAAAATAATGTTCTTTCATTATTGTTACAGCTCCTTTAACCACTTTATCACAAATAGTTGTATTTAAAACAAATTCAAGTCTTCTCACTCCACGCAATTTGAACTTGAAAACTATAATTACATGTCAGATCTTTTCTATTTCCTACTGATTTTTTTAAATAGCCTCTAAACATTTGAAAACAATCCTAAACAACAAATTTCATTCAAAATAAAGAAAAGCTCATTCACAACATAGAATATGAAATGTGGATTATCAATGAGAAGAAAAAATCTAAACAAAGAAATAAGTAAGCGTAAGGAAGATAAGAATAAAATGATAAGGGCAATCGGAAACAAGAGCAGGAGCATTGGCACCATGATAGCATTGCAATGTCAGTGGTGGAGCGGCAAGATGATAGCAGCAATGGTGATGGCACACACCAGGGTTAGGATTCTAACTTGCTTACAACATGCCTTGAGGCCCAAGGAAGCAATCAATTTTCTCATAAGATTTAAAAAAAAAGTTTAGGTTTAAATAAATAGATTTAAGTTGATATTTTGAACTTATAAATTTAAATAACCTAAACCTTTAAATTAGTTAGAGGCAAATGCCTTATTTTAAGGCATTGAAGTGCACCTCACTTCCACCGAGTCAAGCATAAATTCCGCAGAGGCGTAAGCCTCAACTGGCACACATGAGGTGTATGCCTCATTGTACTTCTTGTGCAACTCTGGCTGAGGCTCACCTCTCAAATTATGCAATAGTAAATCTTGCCCACAAGTTGACCTGCAAAAAGCAAACCTAGGGCACAATAGGAAGTATAAACTTTGCATTAGTAATAGCAATGATAAGAATAAATATAAGAATAGGTATTTCTAATTAACATGAAAATTCCTTATTAAGACTTCAGCAAGAACAGAGGGAAAATAAAATTGTTTTCGAGCTCATTACTAATAAGGAGAATTTATCAAAGAGAATTTACTGCAAAAGATAACTGGTTTAAGCAAGTGAATCAAAGTACAATGCATTAGATATTAACATTACATTTATGGTGAAAAGCAATAAACACAATTAATTATTCCAATTTCTACCTATACCTGCATTTGCACAAGTAGTTCTGTTTTTATCCTTCGAGAAGCTTCGCTTTCATTACCTTCTCCACGCTGACCAGCCAATGAATCAATTTCATCAATGAAGATGATGGACGGAGCATTTTCACGAGCCATTTGAAAAAGATTTGAAACAAGCTTTTCACTTTCACCCATCCACTTTGAAACCAGGTCTGATGAAGATATACTGCAATGGTGGTTTAATATTTATCAATAGCATAATAAGCTGCATCCTCAAATAACTTGCACACCATTAACTAGCATCCACTATACCATTTTTGCATTATTATATTGCACAAAGCATGGCAAATTCATATATGCATACACAATGTGGAAAAAAAAACCATTTTTCACACAATTTTCTATTTGCTTATTTTCGACCATACATCAAAATGGCAAATAAAAATCATTCACTTGATCTTCTCTACAAACATTAGTATGATGTTAAATTTCATAAAATTTTACAATCATTTGATCATGTATCAAGCATAAAAAGTTGCAACCTAATAGATCAGTCATAGAAGGCCAGTCCACCCTAGCCGATCAGGTTATATGCCAAGCCGCTTGCTAGAGAGGAAGAAGAGAGAAGACCTTCTCTAGAGCCCCTTCCTAGAGAGGAGAAAGGGAGAATGGTATGGGCAGAGGCGTGAGGGGGTTGAGTATGAAAGAAGGGATGCAGATTTTGAAAGGAGGAAGGAGGACTTAAACGAAGGGTTTGGATACGAGCAAATAAGGGATGATCCGGACACTTGGAAGACCACCCACTTAGAGAATGGGAGGTTATGGATGAAATAGGGGGAACGAAGGAGATCGAGAGTGAGGAAGCTAAAGATGTACATGGGTGGATCTACAAGTGGAAAAGCACTTTATTGTCAATGGGTTGAGGGAGGAGGAGATACTGACAATAGGTAGCTTGTGCTTAAAGGGAAAAGCATTAGTATGGTACCAGTGGAGAGATATGAGGCGGCTCATACAGAGTTGAAGGGAGGTTAAGGACCACCTATTAGAACGTGTTCGAATCAGCAAGGGATGAAACTTCTATGAGCAATTCTTCGCTCTGATACAGGAGGGGACAGTGATGCAGTACCATGAGAGGTTTGAGTACCTTGCCAGCCAACTAGACCTATTGTCGGAAACAGTACTAAAGGTGAACTTTATGAAGGGGCTCAAACCAAATATTCGGGCAACAGTTAGAATAATGAGGCCACGTGATTTGGGAGAGGCTATAGAGCTAACCCAGTTAGTGGAGGATCAGAAGCACATGGAGAGAGAGGTAAGAGGCGACAATTCATGAGGTTCTCATAGGATGACCACCACATTTTTGGCATCCAAGGGGCCTACACCGAGAGTTCCTCGGGAGACACTAAAAGAGAAGACCGTAGGAGGGGGAACTAAAGGAACCTTAAAGAAGCTCACTGAGGAATTATATGAGCAAAGGACGAAGGGGCTATGCTTCAGATGTGATGAGAGGTATACCCGGGGCACATGCGTAAGAATCAAACTCTTCAGGTTCTCATGTCTGTGATGACGAGGAAGCTAAGGAGGGAGGTGGGAGTGAAGCAATGGTGAAGGAAGAGTTACATTTAGACGTAGTAGAGGTCTCCTTGAACTCAATGGTATGATTCACTCCAAATCACACCATGAAAGTGGAAGGAAGAGATAGCAGACAGGGAGGTAGTGATGCTGATAAACAATGGGGATACCAACAATTTCATCTCCAACCAAGTCGTGGACCAATTGAGGGTAAAGCTAGTGGACGCAGGGTGCTACAGGGTGATGATGGGCACAGGGTAAGTGGAGATAGGCAAAGGAGTGTGTCAATGGGTGGTTCTGACCATACAGGGGGTTCAGGATAGGGAGGGCTTTCTTTCTTTGAAGTTATAAAGCACTGATGTTATATTGAGGATGAAATAACTACAGACCTTGGAAGACACCGAGGTCAATTGGGGATCCCTGATGATGGAGGTGATTGTATAGGGAAAGAAGGTGGTGATAAGGGGAGATGTAGGGTTATCAAAAACAATGATTTCTCTCAAAACTATGGTGAGGACCATACATAAGGTGGGGGAGGATTTCTGGTAGAGTTACAGAGCTTGGAAGGGTTAAGATTGAAGGAGGTGGAGACTTACCGATACCCTAAAATCCATAAGGATGAGATCAAGAAGCTGATCCGGGACATGGAGAATCATCAGGCCAACCATGAGTACTTTTGTAGCCCAGTCCTACTTGTCAAAAAGAATGATGAGAGTTAGAAATTCTATGTAGACTACCAGGCCCTGAATAAGGAGGTTGTATCAGATAAGTTTTTAATTCAGGCAATAAACGAGTTGTTGGATGAGCTATGAGGAGCGGTGGTGTTCACAAAGGTGGACCTGAAGTTCGACCACCATTAGATCAGGATGAGAGGGGAGGATACCCTGGAGATTGCTTTCCAAAATAAGTGAGAGACATTACGAGTTCTTGGTGATGTTGGTGGTCTCACCAACACCCTTGCTACATTCAAGTCCCTTATGAATAGGTATTTCGACCATACCTTAGGAAATTTGCACTAGTTTTTTGTGATGGCATCTTAGTGTACAGCCGATCGGACGAAGAGCATTTGTAGCATTTGAGGGTGGTACTGGAGGTGTTACAGGAGCATCAGATGTGAGACAACCTTAAGAAGTATTGCTCTACACAACCCATCATGGAGTACTTGGGGCACGTGATATCTCAAGAGAGGGTGGTCACTGATCAGGCCAAGAATGAGGCTATGTTGAAATAGCTACAACCTAGGACTCTGAAGGAGCTAAGGGTTTCCTAGGGTTGACTGATTACTACAGGAGGTTTGTGAAGGGATACAACACTATAGCTTGGCCACTAACGGAACAACTAAAAAAGAATAGTTTTCTATGGGGAGTGGCAGCTACCTAGACCTTTGACAGATTAAAAAATGCCATGACCACAATACTGATCCTGGCCAAATTTTAGCCAAATTTTGGTGGTGGAGTCTGATGCATCAGGGTAATGATTGGGGCGGTGTTTATACAGAACCACAGACCCATAGCTTACTTCAACCATGTATTGACAACTAGAGCAAGGCTAAAATCAATCTATGAGAGGGAATTGATAGCCAAAGTTTTGGTCATTCAAAACTGGTGGCTTTACTAGGCCGACATTTCATTGTCAAGACAGACCAGAGGAGATTGAAGTACCCTGTTAGAGCAAAGAATGATGACCAAGGAGCATCAGAGATGGCCATCGAAGCTGTTGGAATATGATTTTGAGATCCATTATAGACTAGGGCTAGAGAACAAGACGGCTGACGCCTTGTCTAGATGCATAGGGGAGCTCTAGGAGTTGGCCATTTTGATACCACTAAAGTTGGATTGGGGAGGTATTAAGTAGGAGAGTGTATAGGATGGAGAGCTGAGGGCGATTAAGGCAGATCTACTGATGAATGAGAGTAGCCACCTTGGTTATTTCCTAGAGTGGGAGAGACTATTGTACCAAGGGAGATTTATGTAGCCATGGACCTAGATCCATATTCCACAGGAGAGCGATTGGGCGTCATTCAGTGGTGCTAAAAATGTACAGGAGGTTGGCAGCATAGTTGTATTGAAAAAGGATGCATAAGGATGTGGAGGAGATGATTGTTGGATGTGAAGTGTGCCAGAAGAGCAAATGTATAACCATGGCCCCAGGAGGATTACTGTAACCTCTAGCTCTTTCGGATAGTGTGGGAGGACACCGTAGATTTTATAAATGGGCTACCCATATTTGAGAGGTTTACAATGATTTTGATGGTGGTGGACAAATTGAGCAAGTATGCTCATTTCATTCCCCTATAATATCCATAGACATTAGTAACAGTAGTAGCGGCATTCCTTAGAAAGGTGGTCAGATTGTGTGGGATATTGAAGTCTATAATGTCCGACCAAGATAAAGCGTTCTTCAGTTATTTTTTGAGGGAGTTGTTCAGACTGTAGGGGACAGTACTAAAGATGAGCACAGCATATCACCTGCAGATAGACAGGCAGACGGAGGTGGTTAACATGAGCCTTGAGATGTACCTGTGATGTTTTGCTTCAGAGACACCTCTACTATGGGCCAAGTATATGGCATGGGAAAAGTACTGGTACAACACTTCATATCATTCAACTTCACATATAACTCCTTTCAAAGTATTTTACGGAAGAGACTTAAGGCAAAGTAGAACACCAGTCTAGTCGGTAGAACAGTACTTGGAGGAGAGTAGATCATGAAGAAGCAAACGGATGGACACAGGAAGGACATCTAATTTGAGATAGGGGATAGGATATACTTGAAGCTTCATCCCTACATAAAAAGGATGGTAGCTAACAAGAGGAATGAGAAGCTGACCCCGAGGTATTTTAGTCCTTATGAGATATTGGAGAGGATTGGAGCAGTGGATTATTGATTGAGGGTACCTATGACCGCTACTATATAACTAGTGTTCCACATGTCAGTTGAGGAGAGCTATCGAGGATCATATATCTAGTTCAGAGTTACCCATGATATTGATAGAGCATTTGGAGGTGGTATTGGAACCACTGGAGCTGAAAAAGGGTGCAACAGGGAGAGGAAGGGATCAAGGAAGTGCTGATAAAATGGAAGAACCTAGCTGATTATGAAGCCACATGGGAGCCATACAAGAGGGTGCATTAGCGGTTTTTGCCTTTCCACATTGAGGATAAGGTGTGTCTTTGAGAGGAAAGTTTTGATAGACAAGTCCCTCCTAGACCGATCATAAAGGCCAATCCACCCTGGACTTTCCATATTGTTTGTTGTTTTTAAACTTGACCTAGGTTGAGAGGGCTCTAGCCGACGGCTACGGATTGGGAGAGCTAGATCTTCCTCTCCAATTGAAGATCCAATTGTATCTTGTATTTTTATTTATAATTCATTAAATAAAACTTATTTTTTGGGCATTCCTCTTCCCAATTTTTGTGTTTTTGTTCGTTGATTTTGCTGAAAGTGCATCCACTTCATATCATAACTCTAACGGATGGTTTAAATGCGAGATAAATAATTCATCAATTTCATGAAGTAGTACTCAAACCAAATGAAATCATAGATGCAATGAGTTTTGGATGTAGTTCTTTACCATATATGAGTCAACTAAATTGGTTGGCCAATGAAGAGATATGCTAGTTTGGTTTGTGGTTTTTGTGAATTCTTTACACG